CCTGTAGATTATTGTAATATATAATATTATAATAATATTATAATATGGCAATAGGCAATAGGATTGTGGCAACTGGGTGAAGAAAATTATGAGTGTGTGCACCTCATTTATTTTAAAAAGGAAAACTTCTTATGAGAAACAGCGTTTTAAGATGGATATTAAAGGAAGGAATTCTGTGGTAAGGGAGAGAAATTTATAGCTTCAAGGTCTGCTAGAGGAAAGGCAAGGAGCTCCGAAGGGGAAAAACATGTCAACGAAAAAGCACAGAAGAGAACATTAGTAAGCCAGAAAGAGTGAATGCATATTTGGGCAGGAAACATATTGCATGGCTGGTGGAGGGTTGATGAAGATGAAGATTTAAATTCGCAGTGAAAGTCCTGGAATGTAGGATTTAGGATGCAGTGCATTAAATACCATCCAAGTTATATTACACAAATACTTCTGTGAATTTTTAAAAAATCACATTTCTTGAGATAATTTGTAATTAAAACTTGTGGTAAGCACACATTTAATTCTGAATTATCTATGGGTGAATGTATTTTTGTCCAGTCTGAATTCTTTTTTTTTAATCTTTATTAATTTTTAAGAGACTGAGCATTAGCAGGGAGGGGCAAAGAGAGAGGGAGACACAGAATCTGAAGAAGGCTCTAGGCTTTGAGCTGTCAGTCATCCCACAGCCTGATGTGGGGCTCTAACCAGTGAACTGCAAGATCATGACCTGAGTCGAAATCAGACACTTAACTGACTGAGCCACCCAGGTGCCCTGGTCCGTCTGAATTCTTTTGGAGACAATGGTATGGTCTTTAAAAGAATGTTTCAGATTTTGTTTTAAATAATTGACACTGTAACCAAAAAAAAAAAAAAAAAAAAAAAAAAAAAAAAAAAAAAAAGGAGGGAGAGCACCTGGGTGGCTCAGTTGGTTAAGCGCCAGACTCTTGATCTCAGCTCAGGTCTTAACCTCAGGGTCATGAATTTAAGCCCCCCATTGAGCTCCATGCTGGGCATGAAACCTACTCTAAATGAATGAATGAATGAATGAATGAATGAATGAGTGACACTGTAAATGAAGACACACTATTATCATTATTAATTGTAGAATACAGGCTATACTCTGGAACATGCATCTGAGACTTTCCATGATCTAGCCCTGCCTACCTTCCTCTCTCATGCCAGCCTGAGTAGTCTCTCTGCCTCAATCCTTTCTTGTGTTGAAAGCCTTCATACAGACTTAACACTGTAGGGGCCAAGGGCAAGCCACCCCAAAATGTGCACTTCGGAGAACTGATTATTTTTTTAAAAAGTTACTTAATAAATAGCAGGGTACAAGGATACTCAGAAACTTCTCCATCCCCTGAAAGCAGGAAATCCTTCCTGGGGCTCCTGGGTGGCTCAGTTGGTTAAGTGACCAACTTTGGCTCAGGTCACGATCTCGCAGTTCAAGCCCTACATCAGGCTCTCTGCTGGAGGCATGGAGACAGCTTGAGATTCTCTTTCCCTCTCTCTCTCTCTCTCTCTCTCTCTCTGCCCTTCCCACACACACTCTCTCTCACTCTCAAAATAAATAAATAAACTTTTTAAAAAAGGATACCCTTCCTGTACTAGGCAAAAAAAGACATCACCAGAGATAGAAACTTTAAAGCTGAGAAAGCTGTAGCAAAAACCTCATTACTTTTTTTCTAATCTACTCCCTCACCCAAATTCCACTTAGAATTCCTTGTTAATTAAAGTTCCTAAACATCTGTTTTCTTTATCCTGCCAATTCCTCACAAATTTATTGTCTCTTTGTCTAAAGGGTGCCTGAGTGGCTCAGTTGGTTAAGCATCCAACTTCGGCTCAGGTCATGATCTCACAGCTAATGAGTTTGAGCCCCGTGTGGGGCTCTGTGCTGACAGCTCAGAGCCTGACACCTTCTTCAGATTCTGTGTCTCCCTCTCTCTTTGCCCCTTCCCTGCTTGCACCCTGTCTCCCTCTCTCTCTCTCTCTCTCTCTCAAAAATAAACATTAAAAAAAAAAAAGGAACTCTACATGAAGAATTAGAAAACCCAGTCTTAATCAAAGGTCTGTCTGTGTGACTGCAAATGATGACACCCGACTAGGTTCACTCAGTCCCTCCACAAGTCCACAGGGAATGCAACTCCCCCGGGGCTGGCCTGTTTGTCTGCTGCACCAACTGCATTCTCTCCTAGTGTTGTGCCTGGTACATAATAGGCGCTCAAGAAGTATTTGTTGGAGAATCCTCTGTGCTAGGCAGCAAGCGTCTGTCTTAAGAAGCTCATAATCCAGTCGTGGCAAAAATTTCCAAGTGAGTTATTGTAATAGATGAAAACATTTATCATAATTAAGATATGAGCTAATAATAGCTTGCACTTGAGCATTTACCACATGCCAGACAGCGTTCCACTGCCTTACATGAACTCCTCACAACAACACCATAATGGTAAACACCATTAGTACTCCTGTTTGTCCAGGCACAAGGAGGTAAAGTGACTCACCCAAGGTTACACAGGTAGGAAGTGGCAGAGCAGGATCTGAACCTGGCGTTCAGATTTAGCACACTGCAGGGACAAGACAAAGAGTACCTTTGACTCAGGAACCGTGGAACTTTCTTCTTGGCCTGGGATTCCACACTGATGCATCACAGGTGATAACAAAGCACTAGGAATATGGGGAAATGTTTCATGAAACCCCAACGGCTTGGAATATATTGGTGCTTCTCAAATTCACAACACCCCAGAATCCTCTATGATTCAGAATTTCAGGCCTGTAATCCTGGAGTAGAGATTCAGAATCCATGTTTTTAACATTTGCTGTAAGTAGTGCTAAAGGTCTTCTGATCACACTTTAAAATACTGCACGAGATCTGTTCCCCAGCAGAACCTGTTAGCCCCGATCCTATACTCTCTTTTCAGGCCTGGCTCTCTTCTGGCATGTGACTACTGAGAATCCTTTGACTACACAGCCTGGTTGTGCTGTTCAGGGCATTGGCATCTTTAGAGGTTGCTTAGATGGCAGCATCATAACCCTTACCCAGGACAGTTATTTGTGGTTTGTCTATCTCCTCCTGAGGGCATTGGCTATCCAGGAAATATCTCGGGAATTAACTGATGGATAGGATGAGCCAGGCCTGTTCTCCAGACCCGCCACCAGCCCTGTCTTTAAGAAGCTCAAAGTTAAGTAAAGAACACAGATAACTAAAGAGATAAACAGCAGAATCGGTAATAGGCAGCCGTGATCCCCTAAATAAAATCAGCATGTTATGAGCACATGGAGAACCAACAAAGGATGCTACTCAAATGGATATACAAGATGGGAAACAATGCTAGAAAAGTAGATTGGGAGCTGTTATGGCCTGAACTATGTCCCCCTCAAAAATTCATATGTTGAAGTCCTAACCCTCAACAACCCAGAATGTGACTGTATTTGGAGACAGGGTTTTTTTTTGTTTTGTTTTGTTTTGTTTTTGTTTTTGTTTTTAAGATAATTAAGTTAAAGTGAGGTCATTACAATAGGCACTAATCCAATGTGACTAGTGTCCTTATGAGAAGAGATTAGGACACAGACACATATAAAGAGATGACCAATTGAAGACACTAGAGGAAGACCACCATCTACAAGCTAAGGAAAAAGACCTTGGGAGAAAACAATCCTACCAACATCTTGATCTCACACTTTCAACCTCTAGAATCGTGAAAAAATAAATTTATGTTGTTTAAGGCAGCTAGTCTGTGGTACTTCATTATGTCAGCCTTAGCAAACAAATGAATACAAGGGCAGATGAAGAAAATATACTAACCTAACCTACAGAAATTAAATTTTATCCTTTAAGCTGTCGGAAGCCCCAAGAGGTATCTAAGCATCATATGACATGAACGGTTTTGGTTCTGAACACAATTTGGGCCTGTGGACACCTTGAAGTGGAGAATGGAGGTGGAATGGACAGGTTTGTTGTTCCAATGAGAAATATACAAGAAAACACGATGAGAGACACAGATCGGATCAGAGATTTGTGGGGCAGAAGTAACAAGATTTAGGGAGATGAGGTGTAGGACAAGAAGAGCAGACAGATGAGGGTATCACGGAGAAGCATACGTTGGCAAGTGAGGACAGCGATGCCTCAAATCTCAACTGAGGTTACAGGAGGTGACGCAGGCTTAAAAGAAGAGGGGTGAAAGGACAGCATTTAATTTGAGACAGGTTAAGTCTGAGACCATTGCAGAACATCCAGTTGGCTGTGCTCTGTAGAGTAAGAAAGTTCTGGCCCCGGGGGCCTAACGTGAGATTGCGACCTGGAGGCCAGAACTGGCTCAGGGCAACAGCGAGGAGAGGGGATGGATGAGCTCACGCTGGGAGCCCCAGGGATCAGAGAGTTCCAGGACAGACTCCTTGGGGTCTCCACAATGTGTGGAGAGAGGAGCCGACCAAAGCTTGAAGAAACCATCCAAAAGGCAGCCGCCAGGGCAAGGGACAGGCGGCCGCCAAAGGGCAAGGAAGTCAGCGTTAGTAGTTTGTTGGTAGTTTTCAAATGAGCTGAGGATTTCTTTGCCCCTACTGCAGACCAGCGCAGACTGGATATCGCTAGTCCACACCATCTCACAAAATGGTTTTCTCTCTTCTCTCTCTCTCTCTCTCTCTCTGTCTCCAATGTGGTAAATCGAGGCAGAAGGGGCTGGCGGTTAAGAGGGACCCAAGCATTATGTCAGGGTCACGCACGCAGCGACAGCTCCAGAAGCCCTGCCCCCCTCCCCGCCCCGCCTCCGCAGGCCCCCCTCCCTGCCCAAGCCCCTCCACCCGCACGGAATGTGGGCGCCCGCCCTGGGCGCCGGCTCCACTTGGAACGTGGGCCCTGGCGCAGCTCGCCAACCGCGCCGTTCGCGGGGGCGGCTTCCTCGCACCTCCCCCTGCCGCGCGCCGCGGCCGCTGGGCCAGACGAGGCGAGGGGAAGGCGGGCCGAGGGGGCGGGCGAGGGACGCGGAACAGCGGGGAGGTCGGGGGCGGGGAGCAGGAGGCGGCGGGCCCCGGGAAGAAAGGAACATGGCTCCTGCGGCGGGCTGCGCCGAGCGCGGCCCGGGGCGAAGGCGCGCCGGGCGCCAGTGACCGCGATGGTGAACTCCAGCCGCGTGCAGCCGCAGCAGCCCGGGGACCCGAAGCGGCCGCCCGCAGCCCGAGCGGCCGGCCCCGGCCGGCTGATGACGGGCGGCGCGGCCGTTGGCGCCGGCCTCGCCGCTCCGGGCGGCCTCCGCGAGCAGAGGGGCCTGGAGATCGAGATGGAGCGTATCCGGCAGGCGGCCGCGCGGGACCCCCCGGCCGGAGCCTCGGCCTCTCCCTCCCCGCCGCTCTCGTCGTGCTCGCGGCAGGCATGGAGCCGTGACAACCCGGGCTTCGAGGCCGAGGAGGAGGAGGAGGAAGAGGAGGTGGAAGGCGAGGAAGGAGGAATGGTGGTGGAGATGGACGTGGAGTGGCGCCCGGGCAGCCGGAGGTCCGCCGCCTCCTCGTCCGTGAGCTCCGTGGGCGCCCGGGGCCGGGGGCTGGGGGGCTACCACGGCACCGGCCACCCAAGCGGGAGGCGGCGCCGGAGAGAGGACCAGGGCCCGCCGAGCCCCAGCCCGGCCGGCGGCGGGGACCCGCTTCATCGCCACCTCCCCCTGGACGGGCAGCCGCCGCGAGTGGCCTGGGCCGAGAGGCTGGTTCGCGGGCTGCGAGGTAAGAGCGCGACCTGCAGCGGCTGATGCACAAACCAGCTGCGGGCGGCTTTCCGGGGCTCCACCTCGCATCCCTCCTGTGTCCCCGCCTCCCTTGCAGGCGCGTACCCCACCTCTGCTACTTGTGCCCTACTTCCGGTACCCATGGCGGACCGCCACTGCGCCCTTGTAGGTGCAAATTTATGGGATACCTCCTTCTTCTAAAAGAAGAAGGTGTGTCAGCACATTTTTACCGCTGGATCTACGTGAAAGCCGTAATAGAATGAAAGGGTACCTCTGGAGATTTTTCTTCTTGGAGAGAATGAAAAAACATTCTAATACAACTGACTGTGGTTGCAACTGCATATCTGGGGCTTCCACTGGTCTGGATGCCCTATTGCCCCTCATTCCATTCTGGAAAGGGTTAACAGTAGTGTTATCCAAGTTATGGGAGGAGTGTCACTGAGTTGTCACTGATGTTTTGGTGATGTGTGTGGTTGTTTTGGGGAGAGCGAGCTGTTGAGATCACCACAAACAGAATAAAATAATGTCTGAGAAAAACAGTTGTGCAGCCACTTCTAATCTAGGCATTTTTCTGAAATAGTTGCAAAGAACAAGTTACATTGTCTAAAAAACTTGGTAGTATGTTTCTAAATAATTAAATCAATGTTCTTTGAAGTTCCAACAAATCAGTGGAGTCACCAGATACCAGCAACGTGTAAATGTGTCAGAGTTCGGTGCGCCCAACTTTCCAAAAGGCAGGAAAGGAATTTTCAGATTTGCCAGTGTCTATTTAGAGGACACAGATTTTCCAGAAGCAGATAGGATCCTGTTTTTGCAAAGTTTTGTCAGAGGCATCCTTGGAAAAGTGTTGCATTTGCTCTCACCGTTCAAATTATTTTAATCTCCACTTTTAAGAGTTTCCATGCTCAGTTCTTTTGAAAGTTTCCCTTCCCCTCTCTTCCCTGTCAGTTTTGAAAATCTTGCACAAAATAACCCAGGTGTTTTTACAGCAATGTGATTGAGACCAAGTCAGTCCTTTACCCACATCCTAGTTCCACCACACATTGACCCTGTGACCTTGAGCAAACTGCTTATCCTCTCTGATCCCCAATTTTTGTTTTTCTTAAGAGATCATTATAATACTTAGTTCTTGAGTGGGGAGAATTAAATGAGATGAAACTTGTAAAATGCATAGCATGTCTCTGTCATGTTGTGAGTGCTTCATAAATATAAGTTAAATCATAAATTTTTAATTGTGTACACTTGGGTACTTTCATGTAGGTGCTTATGCTAGGTAATCTGACTCATGGTGTGACAGGGAACAAAAGATCCTTTTTGAACAACGTATGTGAGTTAGGAAAAAGCCCTAACACTTTTTAAGGTTCAAAACTGTATCCAAACAAATTATATATTACTTTACCTTCTTTTAAATGTGCATATTCACTGATGTGAGAGAAGTTTTTTATAAGCTAATGAATAATAAGTCATGATCCTTTTAACTAAGGTTAAGCGTCTGATAACACATTTAACCTTCTTTGAATAAACTAGATAAAAGAATATAATGAAGTGAAATATGTATCTTTGTATGAGTTTATATACAAGTTTATTTCTTCAAAAATTTTTAAATTTTTTAAATTTAAAGAAATTAAAAAGAAAATTGACAATGTATAAGCTCATAGTGAACTTCTGGTCAATGGTCTAATTAGTAGGGGAAGAGACTCAGGAAAATGTTAATTTTAGAAAATTTTAGAATAAATTTTATTTTCTTAAATGTTAAATATATTAAAAATTAAACATATACTTGTCACTTATTAAATAAGTGACATTTGTTGAATAATTAGCGCTGCATTAGGTGCCTCCCTTCCCCCTCCCCCCTCCCCTCACACACACAAAAGAACTAAACCAGCACCAGCACCATTTTCTTATGGACAGAAACCAAGAAAAGTAAACTAAATACCATGAATGAGTTGTGATTTTTTTTTTCCCCTCATGGATACCAATGACAAAAACCTCACATGCAATATGTAAGTAGTACCCTAGGATCAAAGACAGAAAGTAACTTGCAATTTATAAAGGTAGGAGAGATTACTCAAGCTTGGAGTGGTCTAGAGGTTCCCTGGGGGTCTCCTGCCTTTGTGGTTTTATACACTCACTCAGATTTTCTGGGCCTCAGTTCTGATTTATAAAATGGAAGAGTTGAACTTAATCTCCAAAGTCTTTTCCAGCTTCAACATACTCTGTGTTGTTCTTTAATGACATGAAGCCAATATGGACAACAAATGGTCATTTTTGCTCTTTGTACAGTAGACAGATCTACTTAGCAGAAGTAGGATAGTAAAGAAGAAATGTTTGAGGCCTGGTTGTGGGACACCTTGTGTCCAGCCAAGGAATTGAGAATTTATTCCTAAATATTAGGAAGTGGTTGCAAGTTTTTAACAGGACCAGAACATGCAGAAAGGGGATATCAGGGGGTGTGCTGTGCAGGAGATCTTGCACAGGGAGACAGAGAGACAGAAGGGCCATGTAGGAGGCAGCCAGTGAAGAAGTGGTAAAGATCTGGACCAAAGGCAGTGAAAGATGGCTGAAAGATTTAAAGACTGCCCCCAAACTTAAAGACACCCTCACTGGTCTTGCTTACTTTTTTTTTTTTTCTTCAAAATCTTTAGAGCAAAAATAAAATCTGATACTTTACATGAGTTATCAAATTTTCTGAATTTCCAGAGTTGAATGTGTTCTATGGATGTATCAACCTGGTAAAGTCATTTCCTGTTTGTTATTTTAAACACCTATGCTTGGGGTTTGGGGTTTTTGTTTTCCTAGAGAAATCCTAAAGTACTGATTGTATTGGTCAGGGTAGGCTAAGCTACTATAAGAAATAGATACCTCCTCTCCCATTCACTATGTTGTATGATCACTGTCCATTTCCAGAACTTTTTCATCATTTCAAACAGAAACTCTACCAATTACCACATTCCCCTGCTCCTGGTGACCTCTATTCTACTTTCTGTCTCTGAATTTTTCTAATGTAGGTACATCATATTAGTGGAATCATATAATATTTGTCCTTTAGTGCCTGACTTATTTCACTTAGCGTAATGTTTTCAGGATTTATCCATATTGTAGCATGTATCCACATTTCATTCCCTTTGATAAATGAATAATATTCCATTGTATGTATACAACACATTTGTTTATCCATTCGTTAGTTGATGAACACATGGGTTGTTTCCACCTTTCGGCTATTGTGACTTTCCCTTTGTTTTTAATCTAAACCTCACTCTATCACTTCTTCCTTTTATTATTTGCACTATAATTTTGAACAAATGAGATTTTGTATTTCCATAGCTGTGGAGAATTGTTTGAGGGAGGGTTGCTACTGTGGGGTTTGTGGAAAGGTTATGCTAGTAACAGAATTTGGGCAATCAACAAACATTTGATGAGAGTCTCCTTTGTAGTGGGTACTAGGAATACAAAGGTGAATTATCATTCACCCAACTCTCAAAGAGCTCAGTTTAGTAGGAGAAACAGATGTAAGTAAATAATTGCAATGCCAGGTGTCAGGTTTGGAAGGGACCCAATGAAGAGAGGGCCAGCTTTACCTGGAGAGGTCAGAGGAAGTGAAACTTGAGTTAACATTTTGAAGGATGAGGGGAGAATTTAAGGAGGGAAAAAATAGCAGAAGTAAGACCAACCAAGCCTGTAGCTTCTTGGTATTTTTCCCTCTAAAAAGTTAGAACTCTTGAGGGCTTTACATGTCAATCTGAAGATGATTCTAGCAAGAATGTAGAGAATGGGGTGAGGCGCATAGTACTGGTTGGTGGGAGAATAGGTCAGGAGAGGCTTAAGCAAGAGACAGAGGGGTGAAAAGGCTGCATCCAAGGCATGTGAACTGGGATAGAGGGAAGCTGGCCTGGAGACAGACAGAAGCCATCAGAATTGTGGACCAATTCCATATGAGGGTTAAGAAAAGGGCCTATTTTAGGATGAAACCTATGTTTCTGGCTTGATACCATTAACTCAAACAGGGCAAGTAGGTTTCTAGACAAAGAAAAATCTCAGTGCATGGGGCATATGAGTATGAAATATCTGTGGGATATATGCTGGAGCTGGCTGTTATCTGTGGTATCTGCTTGTCTGGACCTCAGGAGAAGGCTAAGAATTCAAGATTCAGGAGTCAGTATCATATAAGGTAGCAACTGAATCTTCTATATTAAATGGCCCAATAGTAGTAAAAAGTCTCTTCCTTTTTTTTTAAATATTTTATTCTTTTTTTAATGTTTATTTATTTATTGAGAGAGAGGGAGAGGGTAAACACAAGTGGGGGAGGGGCAGAGAGAGAGAGAGAGAGAGAGAGAGAATCCTAAGTAGGCTCCACGCTGTCAACATAGACTACAACATGGAGCTCGAACTCACCAAACATGAGATCATGACCTAAGCCAAAATCAAGAGTCAGATGCTTAACTGACTGAGCCACTTAGGCACCCATCACTTCCCATTTTAAAGGTGGCCACGAAATTCAAGTAACTATTAGGAAGGATTGTGTCTGTCTTCCTAAACAAAGCCCACAAGTGTCTAAGCACAAAAGAACAGGATTCTTTTATGATATAAATGCAGTGAGAATTTGGTCAGGCTATTCACGGTGAAATCCAAATTCATATGGATTTGGGCATTTACACTGTTCTGAAATTTAGACCAACTAGATGTCAGAAGTAGGACATTTTTTCAGATTTGCACCTGTTTCTGGAGCTGTAGACAGGCCTCTTCCAAGCACTTTATGTGCTTTACACATAATATTGTAATTCCCAGAGCAACCCCACAAAGAGGTAGTCTTACCCCATTTTCAGATGAGGAAATGGAGCCTCATGATGTTAGATAAGATCTCACAGTTCTGAGCCCTCATTTGAACACAGCCGACTCCAAAATTCCACATTATTCCTCATTATTCCTCATTGTCATGATCAATGAGTCATGAGCATTCAGTGTATTTCAGATGGGACGGGGTTAGTGTAAGGCAAATGATCCACACTGAGTCCTATAACCATAGAACTGAAATATTCAGGATGAAATGATATGATAGCTGGAATTAGTTTCAAAATTCAGAGGCATGGGTGAGGGTTTAGATGAATCAAAGTTGGCATTGAGTTGATAACTGTTGAAGCTGAGTCAGAGATACATAAGAATATGAGGAGTTCATTATGTCATTCTTTGTGATTTTTTTTTATATATTGCAAAATAAAAAGGTTTTGGAGGTATGTGAATAAGACAGTTGCAACAATGACATTTTTTTCACAGTTACTTATGTTTGAGACACCTTTGGTGTTTTGGATTCTCCATCTCAGAATTCCCCTATATTCATATCAGTGCCACTGCCCAGGGGAATATACACTGCTTAGATAAAGTGCTCCAATTTTGGGCTCTGAAATTGAATAAGTGCCTTCTTAAACATGAGAGAAGTTGGATATTGTCTGATTGTCCCCCTCACAGCATGTTCTCCCTAACAGCTGGAGACACTTTATGTACTGAGCGTGAGTACCTAAAATGCCAGGCAGGTACTCCCTCTGTAGCTGGGCCATTTGTGGGAAAAGACAACAGCTGATTCTGAAGAATGCTGCCATTTGGGACATGAGCTCTGTCTTTATTCTTATTTTATCAGCTGTGCTAAACATGGAAGTAGTTGGCTACAAGACAGCAATTATTTTCTATTTGTAGATGTAGCCATTTCTCACCCATCAGAATATAAACAGGTCCCTGTGTCCTCAGACAGACCCTATATACACACCCAGTGGGGGAATTGGATGAAATTTTTAAAGCAATAAGCATTTGAGGAAGTAGACTAACTTAGAAAAAGTCAATGAAATGCATAAAGTATATTAAAATATAAGTAAGGGGACTTTGTTTCTTTTTATTTGAAATATTTCATTTGAGGGCTAGAATTAAATTGCAATAGGCCCTTGCAAGTTTAGCTTGAATAAAATTTGATGGGAGTTTGGTTTTTCTCTTTATAGGTCGCAATACCATTTGTAAATATTAATAACTGTGACTATTCCTTAGTGCATAATTGTTTATAAACCATGGGAAAGAGTGAAATCACTGACCAAGTGAGGCAAGACAACAATCTTTCCTGATGATAAAGAGACTAGTAATCCCTACTTATGTGTATACTTTAGGTCTGGCCTCCAAAAGAAATATAACCAAAGAAAGAGTGTGATTGCATCCAGGGCTACTGAGCCTAATATTTGGCTGCCTCTGTGTTATTCTGAGTTGTAATTTTCCATGTCATCTAAATTTGTAATAATTTTTAAATATGATAGAGTTTGAGCGAACAAACATTCTGCTTGCTGCATTTCTTCTGAGTGAGTAATTCCCTGACAACTACCAGATCTTGGCAGAAGCAAACCTGGTCATAAGTCATGCTCCACTTTCCGTGTGTTGAAACCTGTGATGCGTAACACAGTGTCTTTGAATTCCGATGTTGATTTTCCTAAAGGAAATTTGAGAGAAAAAAGAAAAGGAAATGAAATATCCAAATTTAGGAGTAAAATTAATGTATTATTCTAAGGCTTAAAAAATACATAAACACTAGTGATGAAGTCATTTTTATGAAGTAAAAGCCTGGATACCGTTTCTCCCTGTTCTCTGTGTGGTGTCATGGTGGCTCCAGTGGCTGTGTGAGTTTCAGTGACTGAAGGGGTTCAACTCTGTGGAATAGGAGCGTGAGGCAGAATGCAGGGGCCAGGTTGGCTGCCATTCATAGCCGACCTAATCTAACTGAGAGGATTGAGAAGTTTGTCTTTTTTGGAAAATACTAAGTCTCTTCCAAGTAACCAGAAATGTGACTTTACCGCACTGTTCATTAATGGGGGTTTTGGATGGCCACCATGTCTGTCTGCTGGCTGAGTCCAAAACTGCGGTAACTGCCTCCAGCAAGCTCACGGAGGGTTATGTCATCCCACTTAGCCAGCCGAACACTTTTTCCATCTGCTAAAATGTGGAACATGGTTGCTGATTTTACTCTTTCTCCAAAGAGAGAGAGAGAAAAGTTGGATGGTTGTTGCTTTTAATTTAAAGATGATATGTTAATTAGCATTTTAAAAATCTGTTAAGCTTGTTTAGTGTAGTCAGTCAGCATTGAGTTTCTTAAAGGACAAAGATGGGTACAGAGTAGAGAGATTTTATGCCAGCGTGCTAGAAGTTTAATGGATATTCCCCTAGTGAAATGATGGTCCAACCAGCCCTTCTTTTCATCAGGGTGACCTGAAAGATATCATGTGCCATGTAGTTACATCATGTACTAACGGTTCAGTAATAGGATAATTGCCAGGTTGCGTCCTCCCCCGACACAGGAAGAGGTGATGTGTTTGCACAAGTATTTAATCTGCTCTTCTAGGCTACCCTCATTTCCTGTTCTCTTCCTAAATTTTTATTAAGCCATTTTCTAATAGGATTGGGAGTTTAGACAATGATCAGATTGTCACCTTGTGATTTGCATATTTGGGGGGACAGTAGAGGTTGATATATTCTAAAGTAAAAGGCACTCCTGCTAAACAATTTCCCAGTTACATTCAGAGCATGCCAAAAAAAAGTGCAGGAGAATCTCCCTTAAAGGTTATGCTATTTATTTTATATGTTTTCTCTGCCATTCGTTATTTGAAAAATAAAATGTCATACTTTTCATTATTTTAAAGGTCTCTGGGGAACAAGACTCATGGAAGAAAGCAACACTAACCGTGAGAAGTATCTTAAAAGTGTTTTACGGGAACTGGCCACATACCTCCTTTTTCTCATAGTCTTATGCATTTGTAAGTAGAACATTTCCTCCTACTAAAAGAAAAGTTTTGAAAATATTTGACCTGTCAAAACTATAACTGAAGGGAATTGTGTATGCATCAGAGGGGTTAATTCAGAAGTTCTCTGTTTTCAATTTCAGTTTAGAATTTAGTAAAGCCCTCCTCTCTCCTCTGGTAAACATTAATTAAAATTCAGCATTATCTGATTGGCCAGTTCATTGCCAGTTATGACCATTTTCACTATGACACGCATCTCGCAAACTGCCAGACACCAAGAAACCAAGTAAAAGGATTTTTGCATTAGATTTCCTGGTAAATACACAGTCACTATTTTTACATCGATTAATGTAAAGTCTACATAAGAATTATTTTTAACAAAACGGCTTTCCAAGTGTAACTTTCAGGAAATACAAATAATGTCACCTAATATTGCTTTTATGGATATACACATACATATTTAAAAGTCCCAGTCTTTTGGATTTTGATGTGTTTGTTGTGTGGGTTCCTTCATTTAGTTCTTAATATCTTCCAAATCTTCAATGAGCACTGGACCTGTACTCTAAGGAAACTTACTGCAGACTCACCTCTTTCTCCTTCTCTTCTTTCATATGTCCATGCGTCCTTGGGGAAAGGAGGGGAGTCCAGACTTAGCCAGAAACAAGTCTTAGAAACCATTTGCTTCAGAGTCCAGAAGGTCATAGACAATGGGTTTTATCTTCTCAATCAAAGAGCACTGAATGATGGGAGTCCTGTCCTGTTCTCTCGAAAGCCCTTTATGAGAACAGACAAGGAAGCAGATTTATGGCAACTGGGACCTCTTACCATACTCCTGGGAAAGGAGTTCATTCTTACCGTGCACACTTAGAAATGCTGCAAAATTAACGCCAATCTTGAAAGGACTCCCCTTCTTTGTATATGGAAAAAATCAAAATTTAATCAACAGTTTGATAATGCCATTCCTAGTACATTAAAATTGACCACCTTGAATTCAGTTGACTAAGTGCAAAAAGCTTTTTGAATTTATCAGATTTATAAAAAGAATAAAAAAGGTTTCTAAGTTGAACATAAAGGATTGAGGAAACATTTAAGTTTCAGTTGTAATTCTAACAAATTGAATACTGATTGGGGCGCCTGAGTGGCTCAGTCGGTTGAGCGTCCGACTTCGGCTCAGGTCATGATCTCGCAGTTCATGAGTTTGAGCCCCACATCAGGCTCAGAGCCTGGAGCCTGCTTTGGATTCTGTGTCTCCCTCTCTCTGCCCCTTTCCCACTCATGCTGTGTCTCTCTCTGTGTCTCAGAAAATGAATAAACATTAAAAAAATTAAAAAAAAAGAAATTGAATACTGATTTATTTACTATTCCCACACACAGTTTTTATTAATGCTAGTCAGCTCTTGAAGAGCTTTAACAGGGAATGACTTCTTTTTATATTTTCTGAGACTTTGCATTTCCAAGTGGGAACTTAAGCAAAAAAGAAGTTTTTTAAGCTACAAAGTTTGTATGTGTCAACAACATCCATCTTCTTGGTTTTTTTCTGTTACTTGTTTAGAAAGGAAATGTCATTAATTATTTTTTATTTTTATTTTTTAAGTTTATTTATTTTGAGAGAGAGGGAGAGAGAGAGAGAGAGGAGAGAGAGAAAACACGAGTGGGGGAGGGGCAGAGGGCGAGAATCCCAAGCAGGCTCCATGCTGCCAGTGCCAGAGCCCGTCTCGGGGCTTGAACTCAAAAACAGCGAGATCATAACCTGAACTGAAATCAAGAGTTGGACACTTAACTGACTGAGACACTCAGGCACCCCTGTCATTACTTTTTAAAACATTCTATCTACGATAGAAATGCTGAAAAGCCTGAAGAGATCTATTCATTACAATAAAAGTTGTAAAGGCAGAGATGTGGTATCTTTAACTTTTATGTTCTAAGCTGTTAGAGCTTAGAATATTGAAGGAGATTTTGCTCCCTGCATAGGAGCTTAAATATTAAGCTACAGTGGCCTTAAATATTAACAGGTTGATTAGGATCATTGTTAAGTTTTTTTAAGCGTGACATAGACACATACATACATATATGTCTTATGCAAAATGTAAGTATCCCTATAAGTAAGTCTAGGTTTTCTATGGGGAGCGGGGGGGGCCGGGGGGGGGGGGGGGGGCATCAGAATCACCAAGAGAATTTTTTTTTAAATTGCCGTTTGCCCAGATCTGCTAAATCAGAGCCTTCTAGATGTGTCCCAGAGAAGTGAGTTTTCAGATGCACTGACAAGTTTGGGATCTAGGCCAGATAAATAAACCAAATAGCTAGAGTTTTAGGAAACATGCCTTAAGGCATATAATTAGGGTTCTCCTGTTTATTGTAGAATTTTTAAAGCTTTTTGTTCTTTTTCACACTAATCACATTTTTTTCTTATACCAGTAGCTACATATTTTACATAGGCAAAGTTTTATTTTCAGAATATTGTAGAATCTCTGGTTAAGAAGGGATCTTAGCAACCACATGATCAAACCTCCACTGAATGCTAAAATTGCACTCCAGTGTTCCTCTCAAGTGATCAGGCATCCTATGTCTGATTGAGTAACAGTTTCAAGTTAAGGGACTTACTTCTTTTAAATAATTCATTTCATTTTTCTATGGCAATGTTAGAATGTTCTTCCTTATATGAAGCCAAGTCTACCCCTGTCTAACTTCCTCTCTTAGTGCCCCCTCCAAGCCCACCTTTACCAAGTACCTTTACCAAGTTCTCCAATTTAGCCTATCAGAAGTTTGGAGACAGCCATTCAAGTCTCCCTTAAGTCGCCTCTAGGTTAAACCTTTTCAGTTCCTTTAACTGTTAATCATGTCATTGGCGATATGCCTTTGAGTACCCACATGATAGAAATTCCCCCTGCACATGTTCTGTTTATCAGGTCCCTTTGAAAGTACAATAGCTCCTGCCTGGGTGGCTCAGTCCATTAAGCATCCAACTCAGCTTAGGTCATGATCTCACAGTTTTGTGAGTTCTAGCCCCGTGTCAGGCTCTGCACAGCTCCGAACCTACTTGGGATTCTCTCTCCTTCTCTCTCTGCCCCTTCCCCACTTGCACTGTCTCTGTCTCTCTCAAATAAATAAACTTTAAAAGAAAGAAAGTATAGTAGGAACCTCATGATGAAAGAATGGAAAAAGTGGGACTATGAGTGTCCTTATTCAGATACAAAGCTGTGGCTCCTGCACCCTCCCATCACCTGACCCTTCACGTAAATGATTCCTCAGTCTCTTCCCCCCAAACTATAAATCACTGTGTCCCCCAGCTAGTATTTGAACACTTCTTCCTGGAACATAGTCCTGAAAGGACTTCCCTTTCAGCTCTGTTAAATTCCATCTTATTAGCACCTGCTTATCATTCCAATCTGTTGAAATTATCTTGGATCTGGAGTCATTCATGTCAGTATCAGCTGTTCCTCTTGGCTTCACTGGATCAATAGAGTTGATATCATCCATGTTCTTATCCTGATTAATTAATAATAAATCAAAAAAAGTTTGGTCTAAGAGCATCATCCATTAGTGAAAGCTCTTTGAGTGGAGTTCACTGAATTATATTATCATCTAGGTCAGAATGTTCAAGAAATAGGTTAATAAGAAAGACTTTTTCTTATTAATGCCCGTCTGAATAACTCCATCATTCTTCTGCTATCAGCTGTTGGCCGAATCAAAAAGGAAATGAGATAAGTAGACATGATTTATTCCTAGCAATGCCTTACTGGCTCCTAGTGATTGAACCCTTTCCCCATTGCTCAGAAACCATCTCTTTAATTACTAGTTTTAAAATCTTGCCAACAGTATCAATATCAGATGGCCAATAATATCAAACTCATTACTTTGTGGGTATATGAGAGAATGTACTTAGCCCTATGCCTTGCACATGGGAAGCTCTTGATATGAAATAGATAGGGATCTGGAAGGTAGTTTGACACAGTAGGAAAAGTATAGATTTTTTTTTTTTTGCATCAACAGAGGTCTGAGTTCAAATTCCAGCTCCACTACTTATATAGTAGGTAAGCTTGAACTAAGTTATTTAACCTTCCTGTATCTGTGAAATACCTATTTTGAAAGATTTTGTGCAGGTTGGGAATAATACACCAAAAGATCCTAGGTACTGTCATGTGAGAATAGTAAAAGCAAAATTCTTCCCAGAGATCGTTGACCGCAGCCGAACTCTTTCATCAGTAGGTTCTAAGAAGTATAGGTTCTAATTGTTTGAGCATTTGAGCCTAAGTGTCCCTCAAAGCTTATCTTCCATTTTGTCAGTGTTAGTTCTAAGCCCTTGTATCTTTAAAATCAGTCTGCATAAACCCAGAGGAGAGAAATAACATGGGGACTAGGTAATCCTATTTTCTCTGTAATTTAGAATTTATTCTTACTTGAAACCTAAGGTTGCTATGAATCTACCATCAAAATATTTATTTTTATATGGGTTACTGTTATAAATAGTAAGAGTATTTCTTTGTGTGACTTAGATGCTAAAGTTAAGGAAAGGAATAAATATTATTAAAGATCTTTGGAGGGGCGCCTGGGTGGCGCAGTCGGTTAAGCGTCCGACTTCAGCCAGGTCACGATCTCGCGGTCCGGGAGTTCGAGCCCCGCGTCAGGCTCTGGGCTGATGGCTCAGAGCCTGGAGCCTGTTTCCCATTCTGTATCTCCCTCTCTCTCTGCCCCTCCCCCGTTCATGCTCTGTCTCTCTCTGTCCCAAAAATAAATAAACGTTGAAAAAAAAAAAAAGATCTTTGGAAACGGCAAAAAAAAGTCTTTGGTGAATCTGTGATAAAAATACATTTGCCTCTTCTTTTTTTCTGCTCCCTCCAGTCTTTAAAGTTTCTCAAATTTCCCATGTTTAGACATTATAATGGAAATCATAAAGAAAAGTTAGTTGAGTTAGCATCATAGAAATGTAGTTTTTGTACATGTCACAGAAATAGATAAGATTAAAAGGCAGAAAACAATTGTAAAGAATATTTACAAGAAATATTACAGAGGATTAA